CCTTTTTGGATTATACCGGTTACTAGTTGTACCACCCACCTATTACCATTGTTAGAGTGTTAGTGTTAGAGTTTTGGTATATTACAGTAACGTTGCATATTACAGCAACGTTGCATTGTAGTATTTATGTTATTTATATTGAATTAGCTTTAATTTTGCCTCCACGCTAGTGTTAAGGCTGTGAAAGCTTTTACAACATTAATTTCGAGTACGAATTACCCCAGTGGCTTAGTGGTATGCTTAAGAATTCGGAGTTAGATCATTGCTGCGAACACGGCGCAGCTAGCCCATTATACAGTTTGGGCCGGGAGTGGCCCAGTGGTTAGTGTACCCGGGTACCGTTGACGCAAAAAACTAACTCTGTACTTTGGGTTTGTTTGTTTTGAATTTCGTGCAAAGCTACACGAGGGCTATCTGCGCTAGTCGTCCCTAATTTAGCAGGGGAAAATTAGAGGGAAAGCAGCTAGCCATCACCACCCACGGCCAACTCTTGAGCTACTCTTTTACCCAACGAATAGCTGAAAGTGCGAGAATGTTTGGTGGGACGGGGATTCGAGCCCACGATCCTCAGATTGCGAGTCGAGCACCCTAAACACCTGGCTATGCTGTACTTTGGGGCCGTGGGTAAAACAAAAATAACCAAAGAGTTGGTGGTGGATGCTGTTGAGTAAATGGATTTCCTCTTCCTTTTAGTTTATCAGTCAAAATTAGGGAAGGTCATTCCCTGCAAATAGCACTTGTACAGGTATGCATGAACATTCTAAAACAAACAGAGTACGTAGTTTTGAAAAGAGCTTAACATCTTTAAGGCGAATTCAAATTTGTATTAAAGCTAAAGCTTGTTCTTTACGAATATTAAAACCAGTGGTGTAAATACGTAATATTGTATGTTTTGAAATGAGACCCAAAACTCGAACGCTTTCGAATAGGTGACTATTCTTCTTCAGGAGAATAAAGGGTAATGGTAAGGATAACTCATTAAACAGAACCCTTTATTGTCCCGAGGAAGAATAGTCAAGTATTCGAAAGGGCTCGAGTTTTGGGTCTCGTTTGGAAACATAACTTTTGTAGGTGATCCTGTGTGCCAACTTCTTAACCAGACGTAATATTGTATGAATAGCTGTAATATTACAATGATACATGGGGGTGAAGAGTAAAAAAATTAGCTATATAGTAAATTGCAAACATTTTTTAAGATAACGACTTTAGAAGAGCATAATTAGATTAATCATAATTCCACCAACTGTTTTAGAAATCATGTTAATAAACACGTAGTGCCATGAGACAGAAGAATATCAGTATTTTCATAATCTTTGAACAATTAACGGATTCTAAAAGGGACAATCCTATAAATGCAAAGGGACAATCCTACAAACGCAATAATGTAAGACTTAAACAAAAACTTATTGTGCGACATTTGTAGTTTAAACTTTATAGTTACAGTTATAGATATCAAGTATAATTGTCTTAATTAATTTTTTCAACTTAGACGCGGCCCGGCATGGCTAGGTGGCTAGGGCGCTCAACATGCAGTCTACGAATCGCGAGTTCGAATCCCAGTCCCACCAAACATACTCGCCCTTTCAACCGTGGGGGCGATATAATTTTAAGATCAATCCCATTATTCGTTGGTAAAAGAGTAGTCCAAGAGTTGGCGGTGGGTGGTGATGACTATCTGCTTTGCCTCTAGTCTTACACTGCTAAATTAAGGACGGCTAGTGCAGATAGTCCTCGTGTAGCTTTGCGCGAAATTCAAACAAATTGAAAAACTAACTTACTTGTACTGCAGCAATACACTGTGAATACTTCAAGATAACGCAGAAACTACACACTGTAAGATATACTTGTGTTGAAAGCAGTGTGAATTTTGACGATAATGCAGAAACTGTATTCTTCTTATTTTCCCGAAAGGGGGCCGAAGACCGCCTGAAGGGGTCACCTCGAACCACTACGCAGTAGTGTGTTGTCTGTCAGTCAGTCAGTAGACACTAAAAAACGACGTTACATAAAGGGTGCTAAACGTTGCAATTTGTATTGTCGTGACGTCAGTAGAACGTACGTATGTCATGACTCACGAGAAGAATTACGCACTCTGTTGGCTACAACACAGTATGGCATATGTTTGTTACTCTTAAATTTGGTTTTATTTAATCATGAAATAGAACACTTTTGGGGACCGTGCGGAAGTACATCTAGTTATAATATGAGTTTGTGATGTAGAACGTTAAATAATATGGCTTTATGCGGGAAGTAGAAGCAGTAGTTATAGCTAAAACCTTGAAGAATCTTGACATCTTCTGCTATAACGAAAGTCAACATAATTGAATTAGTTAATTAAATAAACAAACAAATAAACTTTAAGCACGTATTTAACGTGGGACTGAAAAGCGTTTTGTTACATACAAAGTACTTTACCTTATATACATCCAGGCTATAACATGAATTGTTTTTATTTTTTTGCCATGGCTCCTGGTCTGGGGGTTAAGGCGCTCAACGTGTAATCTGAGGGTCGCGGGTTCGAATCCCCCTCTCCGAATATGCTCGCCGTTGAGGACATTATAATGTTACGATCAATCCCATTATTCGTTGGTAAAACAGTAGCCCAAGAGTTGGCGAAGGGTGGCCTTTCTTCTATTCTATCTCTCAGGGGACGGTCAGCGCAGATAGCCATCAAGTAGCTTTGCGCCAAATTCAAAATAAACCGAAACCATGTGCCCCCATGTGTCTCCACCCGAAAAGAAATGAAATTATTTTTATATTATGAAAACAACAAAATTCAATAAAATATACTATTTTTATATAAAATTGCATTTAAAATGCATTTACGCAAAGGATTTCGCCCTTGTATTGAACAGTTCCCCTACAGAATACTTACACTGACTTTATATCCACCCTGTATTTGCGTATACATTACTGTATAGTTATGTTAATGTCACGATGTATTATTCGCTGGTTTATTTACAAAACAATTCTGGATTAAAAATAATTCTTTGTTTAAACAATTTCATATTCAAAAATGAAGTTAAAATGGGGCAGTTTAGTTAACAGTGCTGTAATTTCAAACATAATACATACGTTGCTACGTGTAAAGCGTTTTAACTGATTCATTAAGTCGTATAAGATTCAAATAGGTGTGACAACTCGGAGAGCACAATAGTTGCCCTGTTTTCTATGAAATACGAATTAGTTGATTATCTCCAGAAAATCCCATTACATGATAAGCACGCATGTCATTCTAAGCTGCTAGCAAACTAAGCAGGGGATGTAACGCTCGAATTTTGCTCTCAGAAAAGTTAAACACTGGATGATGTATCTGCTACTTCCCGAGTTTTCCAGAGCGGCATTGTTCATTTTAAGTTTACAACAAGCCTTGTAGCAGTCTTATATGACTGGAGAAAAAGTACGTTGCGCAACTGACGGAAAGCAAAATCACCAATATCTGAGTGAAAAAAATTGAGTACAGCTTATAAAACAACAACAAAAAGCACTTAAACACTTCAGATTCAAATACTAGTATGGGTCACAAAATTTCATTGAATAAGTGTAATTAAAAAAGCTAAACACAAACGTTGCTATAATTAACTTACACAAGTTTATTTTTAAACAGTGATTAACAAAAGTTTCTAAATATTCTCAAACCATCGAGTTTTTGCTGTCACATATTTTCAACAAACTAACGTCGAAGACTCTTTGATTAAAACTACATGGATATGCTTTGTTGTGTGTATTAATGTTCGAATGTTAAATGTATATATCTGGAAAATTTAATATGAAATGAAATAATTTTTGACTTTATAGTTTCGACCTTTTTTTTCTAGCCTTAAGTTAAAGTGACTGTTCTTAAGTCTGTGGTATCGAATTTAATTAGTGTAATTGAAACTGGTATAAACTGAAATGTATGTAAACTAAGCGTTAGCTAAAATTGGCGGCTTATATCTAAAATTACCAATGGACATTAGAATTCACCAAATGTTAATCTAATCTACCATTAGATTACACTAAAAGTACCCAATCATGTTTTATCCTTACCAACGTGTACCGATAGAATAAATTAAAACTAAACAATCATGTCTGATTCCTTGCTGCTACGAAGTACTAGAATAAATTAAAACTAACCTGTTTTCATTTTACGCTACCATATAGATATAAGCTAAAGTACGTTGAAGTTCTCCGTTCGTGCTGCCCCCCAGCGGCACAGCGGGATATCTGCGAACTTACTACGCCAGAAACCGGGTTTAGATACTCGTGCTGGGCAGAGCACAGATAGCCCATTGTGTAGCTTTGTGCTTAATTACAAACAAACCATTCGTGCTCGTTATTGTTCAACTTGATGTTGAGTGATAATATTCAGCTCATATCTAAGACGTTTAACTGGATCGAGATCCAGTTATTTTACTAACTAAGAAGATTACTGGAGTTGTTGTTACAAAAGCACTCAGTTTGATTGAAATCCTGTTATTTTACTAACTAAGAAGATTACTGGAGTTGTTGTTACAAAAGCACTCAGTTTGATTGAAATCCGGTTATTTTACTAACTAAGAAGATTACTGGAGTTATTGTTATAAAAGCACTCAGTTTGATTGAAATCCGGTTATTTTACTAACTAAGAATATTACTGGAGTTGTTGTTACAAAAGCACTCAGTTTGATTGAAATCCGGTTATTTTACTAACTAAGAAGATTACTGGAGTTATTGTTATAAAAGCACCCAGTTTGATTGAAATTCGGTCGTTTTACTAAGAAGAATTACTGGAGTCATCGTCACGAAAAAGTTCAGCTGGATCGAACTCCAATTTTTGTGCTAGCCCAAAAGGATTACTGGAATCACTTTCACCAAGAAACTCAGTTGAATTAAGTGTTGGTTTGTGTGCTAGCCAAAAAGGATTACGAGTCTTTCGTTGTCACAAAGACGCTCAGTTGGTGATCTGGTTATTGTTCTAGCCAAGGAAGATTACCGAAGTCATTGCATTGTTCTTCAAATCAATATCAGACAACACGAACATGCCGAAGTTGTTGTTTCGTCGTCTTGGAGATGCTCTTGTTTGTCACAGTGGTAACGCAGTAATATGAGATGAACTTGATCAACTACAGTATTCAATTACATCCTGTAATCATTATTCAACATTCTAAGAATGAAAAAACCCATATCCTGACAGGAAGAAGGTTTCCACACGATTACACCACCTATCACAGCTACGTCGTTGGAATAACGCAAGAAGAATCAAGTGCTCATTTGGTGTCCTACATATTTTTGCTATAAAGTTGGCATTAAGAAAAAAAAAAAACACGAACAAAACGAGACTCATTGGACCGTATTGCACCTTTCTAGTCTTTTATTCTTCAAAGTTTGCGTCCTAAGTACTAATAGAGCTGTATTTACTTGTACTTGAGTTGGATGTCGGCTACAGTCCTCCGGTGAGACAGCGGTAAGTTTACAGAATTACAATACTAAAATTCTGGGTTCGATTCCATTCGGTGGACATAGCAGATAATTCAATAATCTAAAACAAACAAACAAATATTGGCTACAACTGATGAGAGACTTTGATGGCAGATGACTTCATGAATCGGTAAAAAAAAAACTATTTGATAACATATCCACTAGACTGGCACATATGTCACTCGTTTTCTTCTAAAACACAAACAAACAATGAAAAGTCGTCTACAACTGTTGACGTGAACATATGCCACTGATTTTGTTCTAAAACACAAACAAACAACGAAATGTTGTCTACAACTGTTAACAGACCCTAATGGCAGATGACTTCATGAATCGGTAAAATATAAATAAACAAACACTATTTGATAACAACAAATCCGCTAGATGGGCACATTTGTCACGCGACTTTGAAAACATAGGAATTCGTACTCTTATTAATTGTTATATTCTTTAAGAAATTACCTGATATACCACAGGATCAGTCTATTACGGATAATTAGTGTTTTATAAATTGGTGTTTAATAATTCTGTTAAAGCGGACAATTAGTATACCAGCAACAACCAAACAAACGAAAAAAAAACCCAGCAAATATTACGTTTTATTAACCAACAAATATCACGTTTTATTAACCAATGTGGCAGAATAAAGAAAGCAGATATGCTTGGCTTCTGATCTCTTGATTTTCTTAGATTTAACAACACCTAAAATGGGAGATATGTTTTCATAACTAACCAGTTGGTACAATAAAAGACATTTAATTGAAACATGTACTTGCATCATTTTTGTTTTGCTAATTTTCTCCTAATATAAACTTAAACGTAATAATCGAAAGTTTATTTGTTTTAGCGCAGAACTACATACTCTGAGCTCTGTCCACCAGGTGGAACTGAACCCTCCATTTAAGCGTTGTAAGTCCCACTGGGGGATGTTCATTAACAGAAAAAAGAAATAATTTAATTTTGATAAATACACTTTAAGAATATATTTTGCATTTTATATTTGAAATTGTTTATGTATTATTTGTATTTTATCTATGTGAAAACTCCCTTTTTGTTATTGTGATATATTAACAGGATGTTGCCAATTATAAACTAGATTTGCATAACACCTTAATTATTTTTTAATTATTTGTATGTAGGTCACTGACATTAAAAATTATACAGTCATATAATTCTACATTGAAAATAGACAACTGGATGGCGAAGAAACTTTAAATAAAAAGCTCTATAACGATGGACTGACTCAATTCAAAGGAAAAACGAAGCATGGGGAGTTAATTTTAATGTTTTAATAAAAAAATATAATATGCCAGCTACTGATGAGTAAAATGTTAAAGGACAAACTGCCAAGTTTAACCACGAACTTGTTGGCTTGCATAGGTAACTACATTACCACTACGGTTTAAAATAATTAGTCAGGGCTGTGATGGTTTTATTGTCTTGAAATTTTTACATGTTCTACAATAATTCCTGTACGCTAAATCCGAAAATGATATCTATTTTTCTCCATCATTTACAGATTTTTCACAAAACGTCATATTTACTTATCGATTGTTCAAAAACCCAAACATAACAAACTTAATAATAAAACATTCTCATTGTGGTAAACGAAATAATAATTTGATCTAAGTAAAAGTTTTTCTTCTTCCCGATTGGTAAATAATCCCCACGTAATAGGGAAAAAAAATTACTAATTTTTGAAATCTGCGTAGCTTAATTATGGA